AAGCCAAAGTTGAATCTTTTAAATTATCAGCTGGAAGTAAGAGATAGACCAGTAAGGAAATAACAGAAAAGAAAAGTCTAAATGTAGATATCAAGATCAGAAATAAACCTTATAAAGGCAAAAGTGGTTAAATAGTAATTATTAAAGATGTACTATATGTATTATGCAAGTAATGCTATATGCTATATAATGCTACATAATATAATACAAGTTACTTAAGATTTAAAAATATTTATAATTATATAATTTAAATCTATCAACAATCACTTTATAGACACTTGTTTCTATTAAAATCAATATCTTGTAAAATTCAATAAAAAATTAATCTACCAGATTTGTTTTTACTATATAAAACTAATAGTTTATGTTTTCAAATCTGATAATCTTTCATTAATAATACAAAGTCTGTTTACTATAATAAGTTTTGAGAAGTTTACAGAATATTATACAGAATTGTATAATATATCATATAATATAATATAATGCAAAGCCAAAAAAACTTATATTTGCATATCTCTAAGAATTATCCCAACTATAAGTGAGAGCCTTAGCAACTGCACAAAACCAGATTGGCCCAAATAAAATAGAGAAAGCTCTAATAGATTTATCTTAAGGATAGCCTATATGTCTGCTTAATGAAGAAATGCAAGCCAGTAATTAGTCAGTGCAAATTTAGAATAAGTCACAAGAAGTTCTAAGAAAGAGTATACAATTTAGTAAAACAAGCTGATAGTAGTTTTCAGATTAGTATAATATATTTAAAAATAGTTAGAATTAGAAAGTTTAAATAGGTAGCTCTCTAGTTGGGTTATAGGTATAGCATCTAGTATAGAACTTGTAAATAGACTACTTAAATAGGCACTCAAAAAGTGCACATGTAGCTGATTATATCTTTATTATAACTATAATAGCAAATAATTACTAACAATATATAGGACATGTTATTTTAAAACACATTAGAGCATTATTTTGAAAAACTATATATTATTTTTAAAAAGTATATTTTTTTAAATAATCTACTAGCCTAGTATTTTGTAACAATATAGTATATTGTTGCAAATATGAAAAAAAAGTAGCGATCTACAAGTTGGCATATATTATTTAGAAATAGTTTTTATACACTATCTATTAACTGGCTTGTAGTTTATTACTTACTGCAGAAATAACACTTTTATTTAGAAGTAGTTCTTATATACTACTTGCTAACAAGATTAGAATTTATTACTTATCAGTATAAGAAGCTAGTAGTACTCTACTCTTTCTCTAGTTAGAGTATATACTTTTATTTTGCAAGTAAATAAATACTCTTTAAGAAAAATTACAAATAACTTCTCTATCACTCTTCTTGTTTTTCAGCTATTCTTCCAAAATTTTTAACAAAAAGTAAGATTTTGCTTATTTTTTCTAAAAAATTAGTATTGTTTACTCTTTCTAATTTGGATATACTTAGTAGAATACAACTATATATTATGTTTACTTATAAATACAGTGTTATTTTATAGATTAAATTAAAATAAGATTTGAATCTAATAGTTTAAAAGATATTTGAAAGTGGTTAGCTAGTTGAAAAAAAAATTTATATTAAGGTAAAGTTTTATAATAGAAATATATAACTATTATAGTTGCTATATAATTTTTTATTTGCCTAATACAAAATATAATGTATATTATTTTAAGCACTTCTTTTTTATTTTTTTGGTTAAGTTTTTTCTTTTTTATTGTTTAGTTTTTGTTACTTCTAGTTTAGTTTTTTTTTATATTAAACTAGCCTTTTTACTTATTATATAATTTTTTTCATTTTTTGTTTTCTTACTTTTTTTTTTTATTAAGGTGAATATGGGTATTATGGCGCACTACCAATTATGGCGCAGTTTTAATATCTCGTGACCTGTTGATCAGAACTGTACGATTTTGGTACCGATCGATTCGTATCACCAAGATGAATCGATTGGTACCAAAATCATACAGTTCCGATCACTGGGTCACAAGATATTGCCACCAAAGTGTAGTTATTAACCTTTTTATATGAGTTTCGCAAAGAAGAATATACGTTTATTAAAAAAAAATTTTTTTTTTGGATCATTTGCTTTTTTAAATAACCAAGTGACCTTCGGTGGCCATTTGTTATTTCAAGTCATTTAACATTACTGCTACCTGCGGCCTACAAAGCTATTCTTATAATTCCTGGAACACCTGATAAAAATTGGCCAAATGATCTTTTAGCCGATTCGATTAAGTTTATGATTTCGGCATAATAAACTCAATAAAATTGATATATATACGTAATTTAGGCTCAGGTAGCTAATAGAAATATTATTGAATATTGTATCTCTGGTAGAATGCAGAAATATGATACTTTCAAAGCATCTTCGCTGGAAAATAGGTGAAAAAAAATTTAGAAGGCATATCATTTCGAACCACTTAGGTGTTAACTTAGTATATCGTTTATAAGAGTTTTCAAGCACTCTCAAAGATATGGATGTATTGAAAATCTTCCGTTACTTTTAGAACCACGTTCACTGATACAAATATCTTAAAACTTTAATCAAAAAACCTGATTGGTATTTGTATGAATTACATTCCGAGGTGGAACGTAAAATTAGTCTTGACAATTTGAAGGACCACGAACCAACTTGTATATACAAATCAAAGTAATATTATACAACAACTTCTTTTAATATGTACTCCAATTCGTACAATATAAAAGTCTATATAATTAATAAGCTTATATAGCGCCTTTTTTATATTTATTATTAAGACTTATTGACACACTAAACATGTTGAATAAGTCTTCGAACGAAAATTTAATAATATAGACATTATAGTTACAAACGATCTGTAATTATTATACCGAAATTACAAACTTAATCGAACCGGCAGAAAAATCATTCAGCCAATTTTTATCAGGTGTTCCAGGAATTATGAAAATAGCTATAATAAAATACTCGAATTAAAGCCTTTTCTGTACCGGTACCCGAATCTTTGGTTTTACAGCTATTTTCATAATTTCTGGAACACCTACTCATTACCCGAAATCTTTTTGGTCATCCGGTAAATTATCTAACTCTTCGGACCTTCAGTCCAGAAGCGGCAAAGTAATTTCCGGAAAGCTAGATAATTTACCAGATGGTCAAAAAGATTTCAGATAACAAGTAGGTGTTCCAGAAATTATAAAAATAGCTGTAAAGGATTATTTTTAGGACATAAGTTAAATCGCTATTAGTGTTTGTAGTCAAACATTATTTATCAACTTGCCTAAGTCAATATTTAAAAATTGGCTTAGCTGGCTATGTCAGAGTCGATTATCCTAAATTATATTGAGTTAAACTTCGGAAGTTATCGATTTCTTTAATTTTTGTCTCGTAATTTATGTTCATTAATTTTCTTTTCGGCAATTTCTGATCATATTATAAACTGCTCTATAACTATATAGAGTAGACTAAGTCGATTTTTTGAAAAATCGGCTAACTAAGCCGGCTAAGCCGATTTTATCGCTAATGCAAAATTGATTACATCGCGTAATTCAAATTAAGGCAATTAAAGTTTGTACATTTTCGCTGTTTATAACGATCAGGCAGCGTGACAAATAAATCGTTAGTTTTGCATAAATAAGTAAATCTCTTATGCTGACTTTAACTCACGTTACTTTTTACACGTGACGAAAAATAACCATTTTATTAAATTTTAAATTTACAAAAAAAAAAAAAAAAAAATCGAAAATAAAAAAACTGCTCATGTCGCTTAATAAAGATAAAGCCATTCGAAATGATGCTATTGAGAAAGCCCTTAAGGCTATAAAAAATTCATCAAATAATACTAAAGCCCCAAGTATAAGGAGTGTTGCACAAGACTTTGATATCCTGGAAATGACTCTTAGACGTATTATAAAAAATGATGGTCCTCTCAAACGTCCAGGCCCTAATAAAGTTCTAACCGACCATGAAGAAGAGCAATTGGTTGGTTATTGCCTGAATATGCAAAGACTTGGTTTCGGGTTATCAAGGTCTGGTGTAAATTATTGTGTGATGGAAATTGTTCGTAGAGATGGGCGTCCACATCCTTTTAACGAAAATGGACCAGGTCAATCATGGTGGGAACGGTTTCTAAGAGATCACCCTGAACTTTCATTTCGCATTCCGCAAGCCCTAAATGAAGCACGTGCCCAAAAAGCAAATCCTATTATAATTAATGATCATTTTAATAAACTTGAAAAAATTATTAATGAATATTCACTTACCCCTGATCGGATCTGGAACATGGACGAGACAGGTTCTTTTCTTTTTTTTTTGATCTTTTTTTTTTTTTTCTTTCTGACTAGATCATCACGGGCGACATAAGTCGCCCTTTATTTGCATAAGACAGGTTTCGTTATTGAACCTAGACTTCAAAAAGTCATTGCAAAAAAAGGGGCGCGTCAGGTTCATCGAGTTTCACATGGCTGCAATCATGAACATATCTCTATATGCCCTACTATTTCAGCTGCCGGAACATACATACCACCATTAATGATATACAAAGGTATACGGGTGATTCCAGGTCTTTCAGATGGCGCACCTGCAGGTACTGTTATGGGGTTTACCGATACGGGGTATATGCGGGAGAGCCTGTTTAAAAAATATATAGAACATTTTGTTAATTCTATTCCTTCCATCCACCCTGTTTTACTAATTCTTGACGGGCACAAGAGCCACGTCAATTATACTTGTGTTAACTTCTGTTATGAAAATAATATTCTTCTCTATGCTCTTCCACCACACACCACTCACGTCCTACAACCTGCCGAACTGCTATTCGCTCAACTCAAACTAGCATATGACAGTGAATGTGATAAATTTCGTACTATTGACGGCAAGCTGGTGACAAAATATACGGTTGCTAAACTCTTTGGGCAGGCTTATATTAAAGCATACACCCTCACCGCTATATGTAATGCTTTCAAGACAACGGGAATATGGCCATTCAATCCCGATGCTATTAGCCCTAGCCGTCTTGAACCCTCAATGGCAACACATAACTTCGACCTACCAAATTCTGAGCAACCAATTCGTTCACTTGTTGCACCAACTTCACTTTCGCCTTCACCTAGTTTAGTACCAAATTGCCTCAGCCCGACCTCTACAAATGAAGAATTGTGGACAGAAATAAGATCACTTAATCAGAGGGTTGAACATTTAGAAACAGAAATGGAGCTCTATAAAAATCCAGGTACCAGTCCTTTGCGGCTGGTGCTTAAATATCCTCTACAGCAGCATTCGAGGCAGGTTGAAGATCCGGAGGTAAATGAAGTGCAGCCCGAAATTCAGCAGCCCAAGAAAAAACGGAAGACCATGCCTTTCTCCCGGCTTCTTACGAGTGAAGAGTCATTGCATTTGTTGAGGGAAGCGGAGGAAGATGCGGAAAGAGTTGCCAACGAAAAAAAAGAAAAAAAAGAGATTGCCGTCCAAAAACGAATAGCACAGGAGGCGGAGAAGGCGCAGAAACAAGAAATTCGCAAGCAAAAAAAAGAAGAAAGAGAGCGTGCGAAGTTAGAACAACAGCGTATTAGAGAAGAAAAACGACTTGGAAAAAAAAAAGCAGTACTACCTGATTATCTAGTGTGCGCCATTTTTGGTCGTTACCTTGAAGATCACGATTTCCGGAAGAAATTTTATGTATATAGAAAAAGTTTTTTTTTTACAGCTATTATCATAATTCCTGAAACACCTGATAAAAATTAGCCGATTGATTTTTTGGCCGATTCGATTAAGTTTGTGTCTCGGCATAATAGATTCTATAAATTGATACGATACGTATGTACGC